TTACAGAACGGTAAGCCATTGTAGTAGTGCTAAAACAATGTCATATTTTGAGGCAAGGAATACAATAAATAATAATAAATCTTACTCGAGGAAAAGTTGTAAAATTTAAAAATGAACCTACTCCCGTTCTCTAAAAGTTAAAGAAAGAGATTCGCAATCATAATGTTAAATATAATATTTCAAGAAAAACTTGAAATTTAATAGCTTAAAATTTTTCAAATATTCGAAGTCATGGATCTCCTATAGCTGACGCAAAGTCTGAAGACTGAAAGTCTTCTGTGTTTCTTGATATTGTCCTGGATGTATCGATTTATCGCCGTCTTTTTCAATTTATTCCGTCAGACTCTCACTTTATTCTTCTTTGATAATATCATATTTTCATTTTGACGCTTATCCTATTTTTCTAGCTACAGTATAGAGACATTAAAAAGACTCACGTAAACGTAAGAAACCAAAATCGCGTTCGCATAATGGATGAAGAGGATCTTTTTGCGATGTTATCATAAATAAGAAGTACGATGGGGATTTTTGCAGAATATTTAGCCTCGTTATGCAACTTTTATCAATTTGAAAATGCTCAAGTAATCTTCTTTCACGATGCTGCGAACAGTCTCTTGGTTCTTATTCGGCTGTCTTTCAATTTATTTTCTTTGTAGTCCTCGTTACCGTCTTATATCTTTCCGTTCGCCTGAGGAGATTCCACTTGCTTAGAGGCGACGCGGGAAGCAAGAATGGAACCATTAATAATTGTGGAATCGCTCATTGTTACAAGGAACGTTCACCAATATCCTTTTCAACGAAATAAAATAAAAATTCTTAACAATGCTTCTTTTCTGACTAAATGTCAACGGGATACCAAATCTATCTTGTCTATAAATATTTATGCGAGAATATAAGCTACGAGCTACAACGTCAATATAATTTTTAAAATCGCGAATGTCTATTTTGTAAAGATTTATACAATTGGGAAGCTTCTTACGATATGATTGATCGGGAAAATGCGATCACTTTTAACCGTATCTTCTTCACCAGAATTTATCCGGGCCGTATAAATACAATTTGATTGTTTGCGCGCTACGGTAAAATGTCGATAATAATCGTGATTAAGCGGCTGGAGAGACACCGGGCTGGGAACCGCACGTATGGATGCATGCTTAACCCAATTTCAAGACGAATTTCCCTCGTTCGGGGAGAGAACTCCCCGTGTGGCGTGCGGACGTCCAGATTCCAACAACCGAATTACGTTCAATTTGAGGTGGCGCGGGCGTAACTGCGCCGCGTCCTCTTGACCCAGCTTCCGCGCACATACGCGGGATACGTCAAAAACGATTTCCGGCAAATTTAATAGAAGTTTATATCTCAGCGTAAATCAAAGCGTCGAGTAGTTTTAGAGAATTCGCAATGATGAAATATTTGAAAATGTAGACGAGCAATATTATTCGTTGACGATTATTACATACATTATTTTCTAGCTACAAATTTTCTTGTTCAAAACGGGGAACTCCCCTAAGCTTGTAATAATACACAGTCATTTCCCACGCGAGCAAGTAACATTTCTAACGTCCCCCTTTTTACACAAAGGCTCTCGCAAAACGAGCTTGCATGAATAATTCAGTACTCTGAGGCTGTACGATACATCAGATCGATACGCAGCGATCGTGCCCGAGTGATTCAATAATATTAGGCTATCGCGGGTATCACATCTGCGCGCGCTGTTAGTTTATGAAATGCGTTCGCCGATCTCGCGGAATCTTATATAAAATCAGATATTGCGGTGACAGATCCGGATACGTCACAATATGGGGCAAGCTGCCAAATGACGTATAAGGGAACGAAAATGCGGCTTCGAGAGGTATCGACCAGAAATCCTCGACGCACGGAAGACGTGTACTTACTGCACGGAAGGTTGTTTCCGTGAATGAATGTTGAAAGCTTATTCTTGCGTTATCATCAGCGCTTAAGTGTTCTACGCAATTCTTTTTATGATTCAACAAAATTATTTCCAGATCTATATCTGGCTAAATTTTTAAATACTTCAACAAAATCGTTCCTTCCGTGTAGAATTGAACGCCGTCACGCGAATCAGTCGAGACGCGAATCGGCAATCTTCATTTTTCACGAACGAGGTGAAATCGTAAATGATACTTGAACTGCAAGACTCGCCTGGTCTCGTAAAAGACAGTCACGGGCTGCATCGCGAATACATCGCGGGCTATTTACCGCGCCTGTTCGGCCGTAAAGTCGATAGATCCTGCATGCGGAGCGTGGTAATTAAAAATACCCCACGGACAACAAGGGATGCCAGGCGACGGCGATAATTTAAAGGAGATTTTATTTTTAAGTCCGGCCATTTGCGGGCTCTAACAGACGGGGCCGGGGATACCCCCTAGGAAGTTCCTGCTTCGTCCCGGAGATGTATTGACGTCGCATCCATCCGATGCGACGTTTTATTTTCGAGCGAACTGCAGCTTTCTCCCTTTTTTCCCTCTCTTTCTCTCTTTTTAACGCGCACACGCCTGCAGCCGCGTACGTTGTTCCATACTTTTAAACGAACCCTAGAAAAGGTATACCTCAGTATGATAATAACTTATCCATATATTTCCATTTTCTCTTTTTGCTTAATTTATTAATAGTGCGTGGAACCGGACACGAGACTCGGAAAGTTATAATTTACTTTTTCTTTACTGTGGCAGTAAATAGACGTTATTTAAGATCCGATAAATAAACGTTCGCGGCTTTCTCAAAGTAGAAAAAGAAAGCTATAAAATTTTCCTTACGTTTTTCCTCGGGCGACACGCAACTCTTGTATGAATTTGTTGATAATATTCTTCTTCGTAAATGGAAAACAGCTGATGCAAACAGTCTATCTAATTTCCATGATGGACGTGAAACATTCGCCGGCTCAACCGAGGAGTGCGTGAGATGATAGGAATAAGATCTAAGGAGATTTAAAGTGAAATGACGTGGGATTGAGAAAGAAATTGCGGGATGAGATTGAGGCAAATGAAAAAAAAAGTGATTTGTGCTTGCTTTCGCGACGTCGCCCCATCGCGATTCTCGACTTATTTGCTCCAACTGTTTTCGCTGTAACGCGATCGCTAACGGCAAAACGCATCAAAGTCGCGCGTTTTAGATGGCCGTGCAAAATGGCATGGCGAATGCAAAGGTGTAAATTGCGATTTCGCGCAATCTCGCGTTCAAAGAGCTATCTCACGTTAACTAAATGCAAACTTCCTCTTTGTAACTTGTATCACTTCGATGTAAAATGTCGCTGTTGCTGATTCTTCATTGAAGCAATTCTTCATTGCAGATACATTCGCATTTATACATATATCATATTTACGTATATCATAGCTGGCTATAAAATCATTCTGCATTGTAAAAAAAATTACAACAATTATAGTGGGTAATTTTCGATAAAAGTACTAATTTAATTATGTAAAAAGAGCACAATTTTTATATATTTCCAGGACAAATTGTGCAATTTTTACACATATTATTTATGTAACTTTACATACTTTTTTACGGTGTGAATTTTATGCTCTTATTATGGTAGGAAAAAATTTAAGAGAGAAGACATTAAGAAAACAACGCATATGCTTTGCTTTAGCGATGAAAGTTCCACCGTTTGTGGATTAGGAAATATTAGACAATTAAGCGTTTGCAGAAAGTTTTTCTACTTCCAAATCTTTTATATATATATGTTTTTTTAAAGTGCGATAAGTTTTTGTCCAAAAAATGCGGAAAGCATTGAATATTTCTTATTCCGGTGTGAAATATATGTAAATCATGTATACATTATTCAAACGTGTCCCAATATTCAAATCTTCTCCCTTTTCCACCACGCGTATTCGTAATGAGGACGCTATGAGCACCGCCGAGAGTGAATACCGGTGATATCTCTACCGAGCGATAACGAGCGTCGATTACACCCGCGTCATTTTCTCGTGTCTCGCCGGCAAAGCGTCTTTTCGCTCGCTTGCACCGCCCGCTGTCATAATTATATCGCGTCTACATCGCGCGCGCAGCCGATTCTCCTTCCGCGTATCGGATCAAAGCGATCGGCAGTCTCGATTCCGAGCAGCCGAACGCATCGCTCGCGCGTGGAACCGCGGTGCTGCCGATCGGATGAGCGTCGCCGTGTCGGGGAATCGATCCATGTATTCCAAATGGAAAATAATCCCCGCGGTATGCCATGGAAATTAGCGAGAGAGAGAGAGAGAGAGAGAGAGAGAGAGAGAGCGGCGAGAGCGGGCGAGACCGAGTGTGACCGCGGAGTGTCGGGACGCCCTCGAGGATGTGCGTGCACGCGCATGCACGCGCATCTATCGGTCATACCCGTACCGCGACCGTGTGCGCGGAATACACCTTCGCCCCAGTGACCGACGCTGCAGCGCGAGCGACTGCTCCAGCATCCGCGTCGCTCCGGTTATCCGCCCTCGCCCGCGGCGCAAGGGTAACCGCGTAAACGCCGCACGTATCATTTACTTGCGACGCGACGGCATCGCGTGATCGGATTGCTCGCACGCGGACCGCTCGCGCGAGATAAACGCGCGCGACATACACACTGCGGGTTGTCATTCAACAGATTTTTTTTCGCAGCTGTTCGTTTCCGCTCGCCTTTCTTGTCGATAGAAAAACGTTTGACCGGTCCTTTTTTCATCGTGGAAAAAAATTTTACATATACGTACGTTCTGTGAAATCTCGTTTTGGCACAGCTTTGTGGCGATTGAGGAATACAATCATATATAACGTTTTCCCTCAATTTAAAGAAACGGAAGTGCCGAGCCTCGTTGATAAAAACCTTTGGGCAGTTTTTATTAAAACTAAAAGAAGAAAAAATCCCCTTTTTCGCCCGTTTCATTCTGGTAACATTGTGGCGCTTAGTTTCGCTCGTTGATTGATGCCAGTGCACGTCGATAAAGATGACTGTTGTACTGGAATTCCGCGTTCAAATGTTAACGAAAATGCGAGAAGAGGGCTTTCGGATGTGCGATGAGCTCTCGAAACAACATATTCCGCGCCAAATGCGTTTGATCGACCTGACGGACTGCAGGGCATTACATTGTAACGGACGATATTTTAATGATAAAATCTGCGGCGCAGCATGGCGGAAGTAATCCCGTTGGCAACTGACGAGGGAATTAAATTCTTTCCGTCGACAACAACGCATGCTTTTAATATCTGACCTTTACTTCGCTTCGCGCTAAGCGCCTCGCTTGTTTTAAGCTTCGAGGCTCGAGAGCGAAGTTACGAGAAATTACGTTTCTTTTCTAAAGCGCCCCTAACAATTAGTCGCTGATAATATCTTTTCGTTAGTACTTTTATAATAATTATTTCGAATAATTTTTTTTTAATGCCTGTTATAATAACTGACAATTAATAACGATATAGATATTCCTTTCTATTATCCTCTTGTTCTATGATTGAAGATTATCCTCACTATTTTATCCTGTCTGACACTTTATCGTCCGTAACTACTGACGTCCGTCACTTATTTTCGATTATGGCTTTCATCTCTTTACGTTTGATCGCTGTACGTTTTACAACTTTACTTTAGGGCACAGCGACGGCTATTTATAAATGACATAGCATTATTTTAATGCTTGCTGTGACTTTTATTACAACGCTCGAAATCGATTGTATTTCAGAAAGATAAACAAATGGACGCGTTGGAAAAATAAAATTTTTCAAAACTTCCAAATCCGTTGTGCGCGCAATCAAATACTTTGAAATGAATGCCTAAAGGAATAATAGTTTTGTGGCGATAATATTGTCAACGGAATGCAGATAGGATATTTGCTTTATTCGGATGACGTGTCTGTGAAGTTAGTCGGATCACTCGATAAGTTTTAGAAATCGAATACTATTAATATAAATACATTTTTTATTGTTTCCCAAAAAATGCGACTTGGATACTATTTTAATACTGAATGACATCATATTGGAAATAATAAACGGAATAACGATCGCAAGTCGTAGTCTTGCGAGTAATAGAGCCGGGCATATCGATACGATCGTGTGTGGCGAGCGTAACAATGGCCGCCGCTAAATGTTTCATATTGTCGAACCGTCGTTCAATCCAATCGATATCCGATCTCTGTATCGGCTCTAACTCTCCGGTTAGCGAACGACCGAAATTGATAATATCTATCAATTATTCGAATTCAACTGATATAAGCAACAAGATCTCTCGATACAACCGTTTTCCCTAGCGAGTGAAATGGCACTCGCGAGCTTTCGATGTCGTTCGCGAATGGATTCGAGTGTATCCTTTTTTTTTTCGATCCAACTGCAACCGTGTTGCAGCGTGTTCTTCCGCAGGGCATATTTTTCCGCTGCCCTAATTTCGCCCGCCGCTGCTGCCGCCGCGCCGTTCGAATTGTACGCTCTCGTCCGGGCAGATGCCGGATCTCCGTGGGGTTTCCGGCGCGCGTTTCCGCGGACTTTATAAAGTTCACGCACACGCGCGAATGAATATCCCTCCGTTCCGGTAATCAACTGCGCGCTTTCAGTAGTCACATTCCACTACTGTGAGAGAGCCTCTTCGCAAACATATGTACTCAGGCCATTTAGTTTATGACGAGCGCTCGTACGCTCATCCATTAGCGTGGTCGCGAAAACCGACTAGGGCTGTGCATGTCACTTTCGCGTCCGGGTTAAATCGGAGGAGGGACCGTAACTCCGGGGGTAGCCAAATATCACAAATTTATATTTGCGAACCGACGCGACGTACCGATGGCGCGGTCGTTAATGGCCGTTATTAGGTTGCGCTCTGCGTACGTTTACTTAATAATTCAGCTCGCGCCCGAGTTATTATCAATTCGCGCGATCACTCGCATTCGCGAGTCTAACAGGAAATCGAAATATTATTTTATTCTTTACGGAAGATGAGGAGTTTCTTCGAGAATATTACATATCTAGACTTTATTTATAAAAAAAAACATTATTTAATATTATCACCAAGATTTTTATTTCTAGAGTTTGCAAGATCAAGCTAAATTTTTAAAATTTTTAGTTTCACTGATCAGACCTTCAAGTCGCTTAAGTTCAGCAACGCGTATTATAGTTTATCACTTGAACAAAATTGTCAAATAAATTTTTTTCACTTTTGTACATTAAATCTTGCGCGTTAAACTATAATATTAAATTAGGGCGATTCTGTCGCCGCGGGTGACCGAAGAATCTCAAGTAGGAAATTCCTTTGCAGTCGACGGCCGCGGCTTTACGATGGGGGCCGTGAATCGATCGGCGAGACCGTATCCCACGGTTAAAACCGTCCGTTTCCGCGCGCGATAGTCGACGCTCCGATAATCGGCGACGGTTTTTCCGGATTTGGCCCTTTTCACGCAGAACGACGGCGCGGCGGTCACGCACGATAACGTCGACGAAACGAAACCGCCGACGTACGAAGATAAGTGCTAAGGGACGTTCACGTCGATTTTATTGCCGGGGACGATGTGCAGCAAGTGCAGTGAATGCTGCCAAGGATCTAGGCACAGTGTGGACGCTAGCCCCACGCCAGGCTCCGATTCCGATGCCTCAGGTAACGATAGCTGATTTCTAAAAGGAGGGAAACTCGATATCGCCGATCTCGTCATTTTTTTATCATTTTCCTTTTTTTCTATTTTCGTTTCGATATCTGGTCTTGCCTAGTCCCATTAGTCGAACTGTTACTTATCAATATTTCTAGTTGCATCAACGTATAACAGGAAAACACGATATGAGCTCTTGTTATGAACTTTTGGTGTGGCTGTGATATTTTTACACTTGTGGCAATACGATTGATTTGATTGCTGCGGTATATGTTAGATGAGAGGCTGACTTAATGTGATCTAAATGTTCTCCTATGCATCACACTCGTTTCGACTGCTATAACTGATTGCTATATAACTGATTGCCAGTATGCGAGATAATGACTGCTGTCTCAATTTATTTTAATTATTTCCCTCTCCTGTTGCTAATGCCAGCTATAACTGTCGAACTTAGTTACTGCTTGCACGGTGTTTCTAATTTTATCAACGTAAATTCAGCGTAGGTGCGATAAAATTTAAAAGCGATATATTGAAATTTTCTCTTCATGCCGGCGATAAAAAAATTGTTTATCTTAGTATCTGTAATAAATAATCTATGAAAATAATATAAATAATCTGACAATCTGGATGTTTAAAAGAAACCAGGAAAAGGAAAAAAGCCAAAAATAAAAACACAAAAGTCTTCTATGATCTTACTCTACTTTATCGCAAGCTGTCTTCTCCTTCTTCTTCTCGTGTAATTGATTGAATTCACTGCAGTTCAACAAAATAAGGCAAATTTTTTTTATAAAGTTTTCTTGTCGTTAATAATTAATTATATATATATACGATTATCGGTACGCAAGAAGCGCAATTTATCACAGAAGAAACTCCAAAAGTGGTCGCTAAATACTTTTATCTCCACTAGTAATCTCTCGTAAAAGTATCGTCGATAATGGAACACGAACTTTTTCTTACATGTATTCGCGTTATATAACGTTCCCTCGAAAAAAGCCAATTAAAGCTCAGGCTGGCGAAACAAGTTGCGACTTTCGGATTAAATTTACCTCGCCCTCATAAATTTTCCTTCTGCCTTTGTTCGATCTCTCCGCTTCTTTCTTCGCTCGTTCCTCACATTTTTGTGTTAATATCGACAAGCCTTGATCTTCACCGTGTATTTCCTGTTGAGATGAGTTCCGTTTGCCTTGTCGAATGGAGTTTATTTCGAGCGTTTTCTCGATAAGTTAGACGCTGCCCAACTTAAAGTTCTGATGTATTCATTTACCACTTGTTTTCGTAATCAAGCTTTGCGTAACGCTGACTGAATATAAAGAAATATTCCTATAACAGAACATGGAATGATTATTAAAGAGAGAATTTTATTTTGTTTGTTTTTATTCATGATATTAATTTTGTTTTAGAATTATTTTATCTTTAAATCTAAAATTAGCGACTATGCGATTAATTAGCTATAAAATAATTTTGATTTTTCAAAAGGTCTGCCTTTTGGGATATAAAGCTAACATGTACGTTTTATTTAAATTTTTCTTTCTGGTTTTTTTGTCAATAATACAGGTATATTTACGAAACATGTTATTTTACAGTAAAAGTAAAATATTTTTCTGGATAATTACGATGTCTTTTATGGTAAACACTTAGCGCGAGCAAATAAAATAAGAAAAAAGCGCTTCTGATCCCAATAACGATATTTTGTTATTGGGGCAAAGTAATGTGAATTTTTGCGAAAAGTTAGATTAATGACAAACAAAGTGTAATAAAAACACAAAGGTCTCCCGTGACCTTACTCTACTTTGCTCTATTTTATCACGTGAGCTTCCTTCTTCTTTTTCCTCGCGATACGTTCGCATGTCTTTGCTTTTTCCTCATAACTTTCTTCTTCCTGTTAGTCCACGTTTTAGACGCTTAAACTTTTCAACTATTGGAATAAGACAAAATTGAATACTTAGCGGAAAGAGAAAAGAAGATTTTGTCTCATTTTATTTTTTATTTAAATAAAATCATTTTACTAATCATTATATAATTTTGCATAAATATAAGTTCCTGTATAGAAACGAACGTTAGCCTGACCTAAAAATGACAAAATGCTCTTACACATGACGTATGTATTATCGATAGCAATAATATAACTACACTTCTCTACGGAACACTCAATATTGGCTCTTGCATATTTTCAAGTATTATATTTTCAAAAGGATTTATATCGGATATCGAGATTTAGATTCTCTCGTAGATATATTTTATCGTCTCTCCACGCCTTTTTCCCTTCACGTTCAATCCGTTTTCTCTCGTTCGTCCCTCTCTCCCACGAATTTCCCGTCCTATTACGGCACCGGCTATTTCTCGATGTACACAAACTCTCCTTTGTACGATGGATAGGAAACGCTTCACGGAGCGCTTCTGAAATATGAGTATTTCAAGATGTACGCCGCGCCGACTTTTTGCCCGCTCCCTCGTGGCCTCTTTGTCAAAGATTTTACACTGCACGGAACTTATGAATAAACGTTTGCGCGTATAAACCGAAAGGATGAAGCCCAACGAGAGTTAACTGATAAGTAGAAATCAGCTTGAAAGCTTTACGGCGTTAAGTAAAATCGCTCTTCTAAATGAAAGCGACATACTGTACGATGACAAAAAATTAATTATTGCTCCGTAATTATTTACAGATTATTTACTACTCCGTAATTATTTACTATTAAATCAACAATTTAATTTGTTTTAACCGTTTTATCATTAGAAAATTACTATCGCGCGCTGTCTTATATGATATAGTTTATCTTACATCATATACACTTTATGACTTACTTCACTTTATCTTAATAGATCTTCGCAAATTTTGCGAAGTTCGATCATGTCGTATTTCGCGTCATGATCGAGTGTCACAATTCCAAGACCTACGACAGAGTAAGGCCAACGGATAATCCGTCTGCAGAAGACAGTAATCAGGATTATTTCCTCGCCGTGGTTCATCCCGAGAGAGTTCAGGATTTAGACTCTTATCTCTGAACGCCAGGTTTATTACTGAAACCTCTGGGTAATGGATGAGCGATGGCAATTCCTCTTTGCTTTCGTCGCGATTCTTGTCCGGCTTCCCGTTTTTAAATGACTTTGTTTTTAAATGTCCTTAGGAAGTTTATACGAGAATCCAGAGATATAAGACTATGCGCGACAATGTATGATAATTTACACGCGATAGAAAAATGCTAGTTTACTCGAAACAGTTCACGCGATTTTCGTGTGTAAATTTGACGTAGCTCCATCATTCACTCGACCCTCCAATTGACGCGTAAACAACACGCGAGACACAATGTGAGCCGCGCGTTAATTTTCCATTCGAAAAATATTCGGCGGTTCAATCGTACACTCGATCTCTCTCCCCCTCGTCGAAAGAGCGTTACACGTTTCGCCAATTACGCGACGGCGATCATTTGCAGTGCGAATCCGCGAAAACACACGAATCGTAAAAAAAAAAACATCCATTGCCGCTACGGACGATCGGTGGCCACTGACCATCGCATCGGTGTAAACGAGGAGCGCTGCAATTTCGTTTTCCGGCGTGACGTTCGTGACGAGCGGCTTCCCAGGCCGCTCTCACGGAACACGGTAAATTTCGTTTACCGTGCCAAACGCGCCGTGAAAGAGTTCCGGATCCTCGACTCGGTCTTGCAAAACGGGGGGGGGAGGAGGTTGGCGCGCTTGAAAGGGAAGTAGTGAAAAAGCGCTGTAGGGCTCCTTGGGCGCGCCGGGACGCTCGCCTTTTCGCTTTCCTTAATATCGACACTGCTTTGACTTCGTCTTATGCTGCTCGACGTGACTTTTCGCGAGAGAACTCCGCTTTCCAGCCTGTATATATTACGTTACGCTATTCATTTCGCAATTTACTTTGATCAAGATATATGATGGTAATTTAGATTTACATATGCGATTGCTATGCGTGTACAGAGATGTAATTTGATGGAAACTGAATTTGAATTATATCAGCATGATTAACCAACTCGGCTCTCTTTATTTATTGTATTGATTTCTAATCTATTGAATCTTGAAAATTTCCTGTTTATTTGATTACTTATAAACTTACGTATTGCCGAGGGGGGGGGGGGGATCGAACATTTTGGGAACAAATTAACTTTACGTTATCTTCGGGTCGAAAACGTGTTCATAAAACTGAGACCGAAATCCTGCGATGACCCTTAATAAACAACAGAGTTAGCGCCGTTGTAAACGCGCTAAAGACAGAGGGTGGCCTTGTTAATGAGCGCCGGTCCCCGACGACGAGTACTTCCGAAGAGAAAACGGGTCACGGCGTAAATCTAAATTCATATCTCCCGCGTGGCTGGTAGAATGCGGAAGCAGCTGTACAGGCGGGTCCTTATAAATTCACTCAATCATGAATTTACATCATCAACTCGGACAGGCATGTGTACAACGAATATGTGTACACATGCACGTAACTAGCACACGTCCAACCATGTATTATGCATAATCGACATAAAATATGCACGACTTGTGTACAGGTGCGATATAACATGCGTATACCGTGTGTTGACAGAGTCCATAATTAATTATGTGGTGTTAGGATATTTTAATTTTATTGATTATCCTCGCCCCCCCCCCCCCGAATACCTCGTCGCACCTAATGTGCGCCAATTTTATTGGACAGAAGTGTGTCTGTCAAATATGATGGTTTGATGCGTTTTCTAGAAACGTGAACAGATAATTAAATATAATATAAAGGTTTAAATAAAGCGAATACACGTTATCTAAAACGAAAATCGCTTTAAGGGAAAATCCTATATGTATATCATCTTACATATTATGTTATCGTATTATTACAAAAAATAATGGCAGGTAAAAATAAATGATAAAAGTCACAATTCAAAGGAGTAATAAATAGCAGAGAATGCTATGATGGTACGCATCGATCTTTCCGCTTGGATTTTTTTATAGATGTGTATGTGTAGGTTCGTGTGTGTAACGTGTTGAATTGCCAACGACTGGCCGGAATAACGACCGAAGAATACGGTTCGCGAAGCTTTTCAACGATTCTCTCGCGCTTTCTTAGGTGCCCGAAACTTGGCTCGGAAAGTATGGGATGTGCGGATGGCGGGCTTCCACTATAGGCCTCTGCAATATCCGTAACTTTCCGAAATTCGAACTTCAGTTCCGCGCGCGAAAGTTTCCGATACTTGTTACCAAAGTTTCTGGAAACTCTCAAACAGGGGCGTTACCACTGTAATAATTGCAAATTTGTTGGAAACCAATATGTGCCTTTCAGATGGAAACTGGAAACGATTCATTGGCGTGGCAATTTGATCTGCACTTAACTTATCGTTTGTAATCCGAAATAATCAGAATTGAAAACACGTAGAGGAGATAACATTTATTATTACGGCCAGAGGCATATAAAATACAAAATATAACAAAATAATTTAATTATTATTATAAATATGAGATAATAATAGCAACGAATTATTTTGGAATAATTAAACATTAATTAATTTCGATAAAACTATTTATCTTTAATTGTCTCACCGTCAACTGGACTAAACTGTCTACAAATTTCTTCTTCGCTAATAAATGTTCTCACTAATTGCTGTTTTCTCCGTTTGTTTATAGAGGAAGAGTGGAATCCAGATGGCAAGGGTCGGCAGTCCAACGATACCGGTGAGTACCAATTTCTTATGAAATTTCATTCGCGAGTCCGTGAATGAACTTTTTCCATTGTTCTTCGTCATTTTTCTCGGCAACTGTCTACTTTAGTTATAAATTTAACTCGAGATTGATTAAATCGCAATTTCCAGACTATAATTTTCATTTTTCTGCAGACGGAATGCGATATAAGTATATCTTGTAAGAGTTTATATTTTATCTGTTACGTTTTAAATTCAATTGATACAGAATATCCCTAATGAGAGTCTTTATTGATTAACTCGAAGAAAACTTTTTCGAGCGTAAAAAATGTGCTCAGTTTAAACGTCTTGTATAAATCATTAATTGTTGCACATCTATCGTCAATGCGCTTATTTTAATCAAATCAGATCGTATCTTCGTCGAATAGAAAATAACTTTATTTTGAAAAACGGATATTCTTAGAATGATAAATTAATGCATCTCCTAATTGACTCTATATTCATTTTTTCGGTGATTCTCAATTTAAAGAGGAAAATAGGATTTCGAGGCGTGCTCCATAGAGTCTAGATTTAGAAATCCGAATGAGAACGGAAATAAGATGATAATTATCCGAACAAGCGTGGAAACGTGGAAAACTCGGCGTCGTCCTTTTGCGCACCGAAGTAGCTGACTTTGTCGCGGATAGAGGTACTCATTACTGTCTCACGAGATCGACTGTTCCGCGAAGGGATTATCCAGATTGCATTGCCTGCAATCGCCTTTGGCTCCTGTTCCTTCCTGCCTCCTTCCTCTTACTTTCGCCTCTTCCTTGGCCTTTAGACGCATTACGAGCTTAACTTAACCCTTGGAATTAACGCGAGGTCTCAGTCAGGTTTCCCCAGTTCAAGTTTCACTCTCTCTCCTTCGTTTATTCTCTGAAGTGACTTTGCCCCCTCCCTTTCCCGCTCGCTTCCCTACCTCTCCCGTTCGTATCGCGTGAAATTGATACGCCGAGTCTGCCGTCTTCATCGCGATTTCATTCTGCTTGCAACTGCAGGCACAAAGTGACCGCGTTCCAAAGAGAGAACGCTTCAAGTTGCGCACCGAGTATTTTTATCGTTTAAAATGGATACGATACCTCGGTATTTAACTAGTGTACGTCGGCGAAAAATATTGTCACATAATACTTTTTGCTTCTTTTATCAAAATAGAAATTGCTTTATTATTAAGACGTATCTACACACATGCACATTTTAATCCGATACCAACGTAAAATGACATAACAATAAAATTGCAACAGAGACGGTCAAAAGGAAGAAGCCCAATTATTCGATTTTACGAGAGATTAAAAAAGTATATTTTATACGAAAATAACTTGATTGTAGAATGAAAGATTCGATTGGAAAAAAGGTGAATTAAACGTGCAAGGGCAGCTGTTATATGGAATTTCGTGAATATTATGTGAAAGACAGATAGCAGAAAATAATTTCAGGTCACGATTTCGGCACGCTGAATAGCGAAACGAAAATTCGAGGCGAGAGAGAAAGGAATATACACCGTCTTGGATTTAACCTCTTTTCACTCTTCGTAAAAACAAAATGTATTTGTTATCAAAATGCATTAATAATATCTTCATGCGTTTCACATATCACACATTCATTTAATACGTTTCATTGTCATATGTTTAATATGTATCTCGTACATTCGCGCACGTACATCGATTACAGTAATCGGATAACAAATTAGTCCTTCCAAAAATTTATCATTTATTACGTTATGTTAATGATACGAATATTTATTAATAGCTCTGCGTAATTCAACACATCCGTACAGTTATTTTTATTTACATTTTTTCAAACATTAACTACTATAAAGGAATTTAGTAGGAATATAAATATTTGTGCGATAGAGGAAAATCATCTGCGGGGGATGGAAATCCTATCGTTTACGTCTCTGACTAAAGGATCGCGGGCGTAATTCGAGAATGTCTACAAAATATAGAGAAGAGTATAACAGAGGGCTGAGCGGGGTAAAGAGGGTGGATAAAAATAAAGATGTTTTAGCCAGGGATAAAGTTCTTCTTTTTAAGACGAGATAGGGACGTTCTCCAACGTTACACGGGACGTCTTTCCCAAAATTTGTACTTTTTTTTTTTACGTTCGCGGAGAGCCTCCCCTTTCGCGTCAACCCCTCGAGGATTATTTCACAATGAGCCTGGGGTAATTCTCGCGGGGTAAACTCCGTGGATAACCCATCGGCGTGCGGCGTGCGGCGTACCGGCTCACTCGACGCGCGGAAACTCCTCGCCTCCGTCGGAGCCGGCGCCGCGCCGCCGAGATGGCGTGCGGAGTCCGGCATGTCGACGTCTCGCCACACCCTGCTCTGTTCCTGGCTTTATTTCTACTGACGAAATGTACCGCCGAGAAACTTGTGCTGCTGGTGCAGCGCGCGTTTGCGGACCGCAAAATCGTACTCCGTTTTTTTTCGGAAAAAAAAAAAAAAAAAACAAGCACATCTTGGTGAAACTTTTCATTCCGTTTTTCCTTTTTTTTTGCTATGTATATGTATGACTGTGTGCGTTATGTATAGGGAAAGTGGAACGTATATATGATTAGATGTGACGGGGGGCGTAATTAAACGCTGCTGGCCTCGTGGAAATTATTATTAATAAAATTGAAGACTGCGATCAATAGTGTGTATACGTTGTTGCAAGAGAATGATATTTTCTCAATCTTTATAAAATTAAATAATAATTAAAACGTTTTATTAAAATTTTTATTGTAAGAAACGAAGAGAAGAGATGGACGGAAAGGAATAGATAGAAAGATAAATTTTTATAACTTTATAGTATTGAAGAATACGAAAGTAACGTATTGTTAAGGTAATAAGCTTTTAAACAATTTTACACAATTTTTACAATCATTAAAGTAATTGATTAATTTTCAAAATTATTTTAAATAATTTTGTATATACTATATAATATTATCATTAAATATGCAATTATTGAGTGACACAATTTTCAGTTTTTACACAGGATAAAATTTCCGCAAATGGGACAGCGTTTAATTGCATTGCTATGTCTGACTGCATGCGTTTCGTTTTCCCTGTGCATATACAATTTTATAAATAGGGACTTTATTTGTTTCTACATTATCAATTTTTCAGTGTAAACAGAGTGGACGGTGACCGATACGCCGAAAAACCTTTATTTCGTAATTCTCTAAAAGTCCACGTTTTTAAAATAATAATTTTGCATTAGTAACTTTTTATCCAAAATGGATGTTATGCAGTTTTATCTCCGCAATCACTGCAGAGGTACGATTAAAAAAAAAAGAATTGCACGCATAACTCCAATTAAAACGGCGTAGTCTGTTCGCTACCCTTCCGCTGCAAAATCGATTCGATAATACGATGAAACTCATTTTCCGTCAGCCGCGACACAATCGACCCGAAACTCCGCATAACGACGCCCAATCCACAATTAATCCGATCGACACAGAGTTTGACTTCCTCATCGACAACTGCATTATTCATCGTTAAACTTTAGACAATTGAAAGATGCTGACATGAGAGTGCAATTTAGCTCATATTTATAAAATTGAAAGTAATAACATTTGTAAAATTGAAATAATTGACTTTTATTTCTCTTCAAAAAGAAATAATAAAAATTTACTTATTTCCATCCTCATGCGTATATGGATTTTAAAAAGTTTATTTAATAAATCTTTTAAGTGATATTTATTATAAATATAATAAATTTTAAATATTTAAATATTTTTATAAATGTCTTAAAGATTTATTATAATAAATGTACATTCTATAATTCATATATGCACGAGAAAGGAAATAAGTTAGCTTTTATTATTTCCTTTTGAAGAGGACGAGAGAGAGAGAGGATTTATAAAAATATTTAAATATTTATTATAAAAATACTTTTTATGCAAATTGAGATAAAGGGATCTCGCTATTTTTTCCGGATAAATTAAGTAATGCGAATTAAACTGTGATAGCGCTATGAACAAATAACTCCGATGACCGCGCGCGAGAGTCACACCGCTATTGCTCCGCGGATACAACGGTTGTTCCGAGCGGAAACAGAACGTTTGATGGACATCCGGTAAATTCAGGATTTCTGCAGTTATTTAAACGAAGGGAAATGGATTCTGCATACATATATAAATTTTGTTTCTAAACCGACTGACGCCGTGCATGAATACGATATCTACAGTTATGCGCGCGACTTCCGCAGTTTTTACTATTTAAAGTTCCATTTCGGGGGAAGGATTGAACAACCCTCAGGTTAACGATTAAAAACCCTCGACCGTCGATGTCGATAGCGGCTTATCGCCTTATCCGCGCCGCGTTGGCTCAATCCGCCCGCTCGTGCGAGCGGGACGATAAAGAAGAGACCTCCGTTGGCGCGAGTGCACCTCCCTCGCAGTCTCCTCCGATTCTGCCTCTCCCACCGTTCGGCCCCCACGGCCCCCACGGCCCCCACGTGACGAGCGGCGACGCAGCGCGGATCCACCGTCAACTAATATTGATTATAAAACGGCGGCGGCAGCGGCGGCGACGGCGGCGGCGGCGGCGGCGGCGGCGGCGGCGGTGGTGGTGGTGGCGGCGGTGGCGGAGGCGGCGGTGGAGGTGGCGGTAGTTTCTTCGTTCTCCTTTTTTTTCCTTTTGTCAAGCGGAGCCACGGGGCGGTGGTACACGCGCGCGAGACACAATACGCCCGTAGTGTGCGTCGTGGCGGCGGCGGTGGCGGTGGCGGCGGTGGTGGCGGCGTCGGCAGCGGCGACGACGGATTACTCTCGCGGAGAGTCGCCGGAGACGGCCGGCTCGCCCGGCGGTGAAGTGAATAAAGCCCCCATCGGGCCAGACGCGCATACCGGAGTGTCGTCTCGTCCCGCGATCGTCCCTCGTCGTCTCCCCGTTTCGTTCGCGCTCGTCTACTCCGGAAATCCGCGCACGGCACGGACGCTCGCGGACAGGAACGTCTCGTCGTCGGCCTGAGAAAGAGACAAGAGGAGAGAGGGTGCATTGACTCCAGACGC